ATTTAATATTTAGGATTTATATATTAGAATTTAAAGTTTAGGGTTTAAAAATTTTAGATTTTAGATTTAATATATTAAGAATTAGAAGTCAAAACAAAAGAAAGGTTTGTAGAGTAATTGACCAAAATATTAACAAAGAATACTTTTTCAGTCCAAATTTTAGTCCTTTAGTCCAGATTTGTGTCCTTTATGATGGGTCTATTAGATAATCAGCCAGCAAAATGATTGTGCATGTTTACAGATAATGGAGTTGGATGAAATAAACAGAGAAAAGAGAAGGGGTGTTTATTTGATTTGTTGAGAGCTTTGCTATGCGTTTTGGTGAAACAAGGAGAAGATTCAATTAGTTTTGTTTTTTTTTTTTCGGTTTTTTAATGACCCCTATATTTTTTCCCTCTCCTCTATGTTTTATATCTCCCATATTTTCTTTGATTTCTTTTCTTTTAGGATTCACACTGTTGTTCTAGGCGGTAAGAATTTCTCTTTTCTTTCACTTATACTTTATATATTTTTATTCAAGTTTTATATGGGAAGGAAATATTGGTTTAAGTACTATTTTGGTCCCTCAACTTTCTACCTTGGCACTAAAATTGTCCCTTAACTTTAAAAAGTATCAAAACTATCCTTAAACTTTCATTTTCAATACCAAAATAATCCTTCTGTTAGTTAAGTGACAGGTGGCACGTTATCTTGCTACAAAATCACTAGATTTTTTTAATTTTAATGACGTGTAAATTTCAGGTAGGAAAATTTAACATTTTTTTATTATTATTTCATAATTTTTCAAATCTAAAGACAAAAAAAAAACTTCATATTCTTTCTTGTTCTTTTTCTCTCTTATCGATTTTTCTTCCTCTCTAGAACAAACCCAGATCTGGGTTTGAGACTAACTCTACATTTCTCCATCCACCTTCGCTTCTCTCCTCACTCGCCATTTCTCCTTCGAATCAACAGATACTATTGTGAAGAAAAGCTTGAAGCCTGGCGTCATGGCCCTCGCATGGCTTTGCGGCAACAATGGATGGTATGCGTCGTCGTAGGCTCATTGTAGGCTCGGCCACGTCAGGATCTGGCTCTGTTAGCTCCGGCTTCGGCAGTAACATGCGTCGGGATTTGGCTCACTGTAGGCTCGAACAACGGTTGACAATGCCCTTGGCTTGAAGATCTTGCCCACCGTTGTCCTTGTCATGAGTCTTTGCTTCATCGGCTTTATCACTGCTCTTCATGTGTTTGGCAAGCTCTATCGCTCCAAATTTGGAGCTGAAGCATGATTCATGTCTCGAACACCATTCCTGTTTCGGATCCTTTTTTTAGTCATGTTTCAATTTTAGCTTTGTAAATGATGGCAGGATTGCAGTATCTAATGCTTTTCTTGTGGATTTTTTTACTTCTTGTATGTTTTTTTCTTTTCGAAATGGATGGATGAGTTTCTTTGCCTTTTCAAATTGCCTTTTTCTTTCTTCCACTATTTCTTTAGCGTTGAAATGTTGGACATGTCAATTCAGTTTCTATTAAGGATTCTCAAGCAATTATTCAAATTGATGATCTTCTTTTTGTGCAACAGTGGTTAGTAGTTAATTGCTACACACCAATTTTTTCTTACTTCTAATGGTTACGGTTTAGATCCTTTAGCTTCTGTATGGATTATCATTTCTTTTTTCTAACAAATTGTTTGCTTTAGTTTTATTGTTTAAGTGATTCGTGCTTGAAGCTTTTTTTGGATTATCATTTTGTATAGAAAATGAACATGACACGACTTAGAAAAACCTAGATCTGGGTTTGAGAGATGAAGAAGAAGGGAGAAGAGAGAGAAAGAAAGAATCAGAAGAAGAAAGAAGAAGGATGAGTAGGGAAAAGAAGGAGGAAAGAAGGAAAAAGATGAAGTTTGAGAGAGAACCCATATCCCAGATCTGGGTTTGCAGAGGTAAGGGAAAAGGAAGGGTAAAGGAGAGAGAAAGTGAAAGAGGAAGAAGAGATGACTTGGATGAAAAAAAAAATATCATTAATTTTAAATTAAATGAAAATGCCAATTCATAGGCCAACTATGTTTTTTTTTTTCACGTCATTAGTTAAGAAAAAAAAGAATTGATTTGCTAGCAAGTTAACGTGACACTTGTCATTTAATTGACGGAAGGACTATTTTGGTACAAAAAATGAAAGTTTAAGGATAATTTTGGTACTTTTTAAAGTTGAAGGACAATTATGGTACCAAAATGAAAAGTTGAGGGACCAAAATGAAAAGTTGAGGGACCAAAATGGTGCTTAAACCAGAAAATCTTAGTACTTTGGAATACTGTTTGTAAGAATTGACTATAGTAGAGGATTTATATTTAGTTGAATTTGGATTGCTTTTATTTTCTCAATCTAATTTTGTGTGCTTTTATTGGTGGATATTATTTACCATTTAAAATCCAATAAACACCCAACCAGGACTAGTACATCTCTCTCCAAAGTCATGTTACTTTACTCCTCTGACTAGAATAGGAGTTGCAAATGTTTGCTTGATTCATAGTAAGGGAACCTGATTAATTCAAGTTATGTTTCAATATTATTACATGGTTGAATAAATGTATGTTTTCATTGTGCCAACATTATTGGTTTTATGTTATTCTTTTAGCAATAAGACAGTAATGTTATGTGATTTTGGTTAATGTTATTGCATGAACTGGTCTATAATAATATTAGGGAATTAGATCTACTGCAAGTTTTTAGAGGTCAAAGTTAAATTGCACAGGGAACATAAGGCAGCAAGTAACACCACTCATGGTTGTAAAGGAGGTGGTTTAGTTTTGACATTAGTTGTTGAAATTATGATCTTTTATTTATTTATTTGTTTTTTTTTTTCTTTTTTCATTTTTCATCATGATGGGTTTGCTTTGAATCATATTGAATACTGGCATGTACAACAATTTCGTAACTATATGTTTTCAATTTTTGAAATGCATAGATTTGTGTTTCTGCATTAGGTCACTGATTTTTTAAAGTCAGATTTTTTTTTTTTTTTGGTGAATTTATAACTGTGATGTGGTATTTTTGCAAACAAAGATAGTGAGAAATTGGCATCAGGGTCGTTAGACGTTAGAAAGTGCCAAAGATCTGATTTCCACGGGAGGGTACTCGATAACCTACATCCATTATGTTTAGATTCATCCTGGTTCACCTAAGGCAGGGTATAGAGGTAAATTTAGTCATGGGTGTACAGACAAGTCATTGACTTGATGGGTTGTTTTGGAGTCACATTTGCATAGAATGGCTTTTACTATTTACACAAAGAAAGGGAAGATATTCACAAGAACAAAATTATAGATTTTACTTTTAGATTAACTGCAATCACTAAAATTTAATCTCATAGCATCTTTGTTATGAATTTGTCGATCATTTATAATTAAATTTTTCTAAACTATGATTTTAGGATCCTTTATAATTTTTAACAGATTTGTGAAATTTGTTAACACATTAAAAGTTCTTGAGAGATTTATGATAGTAAAAAAAGAGATTGAGTAGATTAAGAGTGCAATTCAGTCAAATGAAGCAGTTGTGGCTATAGATGCATATGGTTTTTTTTTTTTCTTTTTCTTTTTTCTCTCCTAATGATGCATCTGTCATTGAACCGTACCATAGGATGGGAAATGTGTTTGACAGAGATTGAGGAAGGTTAGAATTTAAGGGAAAAACATTCGCAAGACTGCAAAAGTGATTTGTTTCCAGATTATTGCTTTGTCAAATCTCCTTAACATTGTCAACTTAAATGATTTATCATGGTTGATGAAACTTAATTGGTAAATGGAAACTAATTACTAGACTTAAAAAGTCTTATGCATATTTTATAATATTGAGTTCTATTTGTTGAGCTGAATCCTGTAAGGTAACATATAATCTATCATTTCTTTGGTAATATTATGTCACACAATTTATTTGCAATATTGGCCCATAACGAGACCATGACTCAAACATTCAAAGTTGGACTCACACTACACCCTTTAACGTGGGGTTGTTCACCCAGTTGAGGATTAATAAAGAGCAGCTCGAACGAAAAAAGATAAATAGCAGCAGCTGTCATTGACGTATCCTATCCAATGCAGCTGATCTGCCGGTACGAAACATTCTAACTTACAATAAAAGAAAAGAGAAAGAAAAATTACATCTCCGATTTGGACTACGAAGACAAAACATAAAACAAAAAGGCAGAATGTGAAAATCTACTCCTAAGATTTTAGAATCGGAATAAATTAGTATACAACAAAAAAAAAAGAAGTAAATTGTTATTTAAAAAAAAACAATTTACTTTTTTTTTTTTTATTGTACTAATTTACTTCCAATAAAAAATATCTAGCGGTAGTTTCCACCTCCTGCCCACGCACAATCTGATTGGAAAAACTTATTATATGAAAAACAAAATATTTAAGTTCTGAAGCAAGAAGCGAAGGGCGCGGATGGGAATGCGTCTGGGGACTGCTAACACAGCCTGACTGTTACTTTGAAGGCTTCGGATGCGAACGAAAACTAAATAATCTCCAACGACAACTAAATTCAAATCACCCCTGACATTCCGCATGGTGCGCAAAGTTTCAGTTGGGAGTGCCAACCTTCTATCCTCACCCATTTTTCTTAGAGTCTTCTTGAGGGGAAACATAATTAAAGATGAAATATTGGAACTCAGGAACGTAACTCCAGCACGGAGAGAGCTCAGTGAACACCGTTCCAGCTTGGCTCGCCAACCCCAACTGCGCTGTCTTAGTTAAAAAAGAAAGTCAGGTTACAACATATGAAAAGTAGTGCATGGAGAATTTGGCTCATGTGTTAGTCATGGGATGCAAAAGGAAGAACACAAAAAATTTCAACATTTTCAGTTAAGGCAGACTTACAATGGAATCTGCATCGAATTGCCATATTGATTTTGAAGCTGAGCAGGTTCAGTTGACTGACGTAATTGACGAATTTGAAGCTGGGCGTTTTCAAGCTGGATTCGAAGCAAGTTGTTTTCACTCTCAGATTTCTCTTTGGCCAAAAGAGCATTAAATCTCTCCTCCTTGGCGACCGATAGCTGGGTTTCCTTTTCACGAATTTGAATCTTCAATTGCTCATTTTCAGCCTTAAGGGTCTCCATATAGCTCTTCATTAGCTCATCCTTTTCCTGTTTTCCAAGTCTCAATTGCTCATTTTGATCCTTAAGTATCTCCAGACTGCGCATCAATGGATTATATTCAAGTTTCAAGCGAAGATTTTCAGTCTGGAGTTCATCCCTATCAGACTTGATTTGCTCTTGCATTGCCTGAAAGAAACATATACAAATAATAAATGTGTATTAATGTCATAAGATTCAAAGACCTCATGCACTCCAAAATTGCAAACGAAATGATAAAATATTTACCTTCTTTTTCTCCTTAGATGCTTTATCGATCTGTCTTTTTTTGGCAAGCTTTGGATCAGTGATTTCATCAGCATTTCTTTTTCCTTGTGCCGTTGCAGGTATAACTGATTGTTGCTGCGGTAGTGGCTGAGTTCCGTCAGCCGTGTCAATGCCTTGAAACGATATCCCATGCTGTGGAACACTCGAGGAAGCTGACAAGGTTTGTGGTGTTGCAAATCAAGGAAAGAATCAGAGATTAATTATTGCTTAGGCATTAATATATGAAACAATTATCACACGGGTGGCCAGTAGTCCAACCCAACAGGGACCACCAGCTTTAAGAGAACAATTTGCGAATATATTTTTAGGTTTTTATCCGTTTACTTAAGTGTTAAAAAAGTGATTAATATTTTTTAATTAATTTTTATTAAAAATATAAATTAAATTTTAATTAAATTAAATAATTAAAATTATTTATATATTAATAGTGTTGAAATATATATTATTTTTTATAATTTTTTATATAAAATAATTAAAAAATATATATCTATTATACTTTTAATTTATATCTTTAAAGGATAGTTTAATTAAATATATTTTTTAATTACTTGTAAGTCAGCCTATGCACAAGAGAAACTACGCACAAAAAGCCTAGCAGCCTGTGGTGGGTGTGTGTATAGAAATTGGGAACCAATCATCACATGGGCCGCCCCATGCTCAATGTCCACAACGGTTTCCTTGGCTGATCAAAAAAAAAAAGAAAAAAAAGTCCACAACGGTTTCCCACTTTCTACTTTCTAGTCCCTAAATTTCATCTTTCCAACAAGGACACACATGCGACGCGGAAACTGAAGGAAAGTGGGAGAATTTTAGGACTTTTTTATTGTGAACAAAGGAAAGGTAAAAATAAAAATAAAAATAAAAATAAAAAGAGGTGGCTCATGACCCAATTTTAATTAAGCCTTAAACATGTTGTATTTGGATTTTTTTAAAAATAAATGGTCTTAATAATTATATTATTTAAAGATATGAAGATATCATTTTCCGTGGAAAGGTAATAGATGAAAAAGAGGTACAGTTTTATCATGAAGTGGTCTTGGTTGTTTTTTACCTTTTCTTTTTGGCTAAACAATAAAAAAAATTAAAAATAAAAGAAACACAAATCAGTTCTTGGGTAACACACTTACACGAGTTGTTCAGTTAATTTTTGGTCCTAGAAGGTTTTTTTGTTATGTTCATTTAGTTTTTTGGTGTTTGAGCCCATCAGATTTGGAAGACTAGAGATGTGCGCACCAAGTGAAAAATTAAGAAATTTTTTCTTTAGCTTATGTCTTTTGTGAATATGTTTTGTTGATAAAAAGTAATAATAAATGCAATTAATAGTTTAGTAGGTTGAAAGTCTTATAAACAAAAATCAATAAGTAATTTAATTAATTTTTTGAGATGAAGAAAAATTTGGTGGATAAAATTTTTAGAAAAAATATTTTCTCACGATTTAGATCTCTTACATTTAGTTTGGAAATTAAAAGACATTTCCATTAAATAAAAGAACTTAGATCAGAGGGAATCTTGTGATCATTGAGTTTCGTAAAACAACTAAAACTACCACGCGAGGATAGTGAGACTCTGGCTAGGCTTTACCTAAGTTAATAACAACTAAAAAGCCACAAGAGCTCCAGCTCAAGCCATGGTTACAACTTGGACGAAGGATCTCAGAGGGTTAGGGGTCTACTAAGAGACCGCCAATTAAGTGCCAAGCAAAAACTTTTTGCTTACCTAGGATCGAGACTTAAGCCTGCCCTCCAAGCTAGGTGGTCGAGGTAAATATACTCTAGGAATTGGAAACAAATCCTACGAGGGGATCTTGGAGGGTTAGGGAGTTTATCGAGAGAGACCACCAACTGGATGCAAAGCCCTTTCAAGTGAAGAGAAAACTCAAAGGGAAAACTCCCACAGCTAATATCGTTTCATGATTTAGGATTTTAAAGCCTAACTTGAGGGTTAAAAGACACTCTTAAAAATAAAAAGAACTTAAATCATGGGAACTTGCTTAGGGTGGAAGCTGCATGCAGCTGTTCCACCTCCTCATTTGTGATATTTTCTTTATTTTCCAACTTCTCAACTAATTAATAACGTTTTTTTCATACTACCAAATTAAGTACCAATCAAACTACTTAATACTTTTACAAACAGATATCGAATCAAATTATTTTCAACAATTATTATATATCCAAAAAAGTAACAAATTAAATTGAGAAAGATTAAAAAGATTTGCAAAAGAAAAAGGAGAGAAGCTCAATTTTTGCTCCAGAAAAGCAAACATGTATGTATAGATGAGATTGAAATTCAACTTACAAGCATCTCTCCTCCTTTGCACGGATTGATCACCTCCACTGCATCCTTTGTTCTCCATCTGTCAATGTGCTTGAAGGGGTTTTTTGGCCTGAATGTTCTTCAAGGGTTGGATTAAGCACATTGCCTAGACTAATATTTATAATATGCCTTTTTTTTTTTTTTTGTAAATGCCTAGCCTTCAATTTCCACACCTTACAGAACTGTCCATCCAATGATCAGTTTTCCATATACATGCGGCACTACTAGTTTTTAATTTTTTTTGACTTACCATGAAGACCTCTTATTCGATGACGGACTATTAATCGTTCGACATCGATCAACAAATGCTCGACATCGATCAACAAAAGCTCGACATCCATCCATCTAACTGTTGACTGGATATCTTTTTCGATGACCTTCTAGATAATCTTTCCGCAGTGGTTGAATTTTTAAGTATGTAGCACCATTATTTCTACTCTAACTAACCTGATGGGACCTCTTTTTGGACGATCTCCAAATTAATAACCTGTCCACAACGGTTGAATTTGAATTTTTAAGTATGTAGGAGCATATATCTGCTGTAATTAACTAATGATACCTCTTGGATGACCTACCATCAATCGTTCGACATCGATCGACGATTGTGCCTGCTGCAATCCCACCCTTGAGCCCGGATATTTTCTAACGACCCTTTTTTCTGCACAACAAAAAGACAGAAGAATGTGCCAAAAAAACATGTGTGGACACAATGGCAACAAGTCCATCACTTGGGAGAGGACTGGCGTTTCTTTGAGGAAGGAACCCTAGAAGTTCTCTCGTGTTTATCTAATGACTGTTTGGGTGTCTGCCACAACCAGCGCTTAAAGCACTGTCCCAGCGTTCCTGGTACCCAAAAAAATAAAAATAATAAAAAATAATAAAAATAAAAATAATTCATTTTACCGCGGTAGATACAATGGATTAATTAAAAAAATTTGCATAATATCAACGCGACCCCGGGATAAAAAAATGTTAATTATAAAATATCACATATTATTGTAAAAAATATCATAAAAATATTATTTTTTTCTAAAAGACGAAAAGTAAAGTCGTGAAATGAATCAAAATATCAAATAATAAAAGCAGAATTTCAGTTTTTTTTTTTGGGGAAGGGGTGGGCCTTCAACCATAGAAAAAGCAAATCGAAAAGGGCAACCGCAAAAAAAAAAAAAATGGCCCTGATCTCGACTTGGGCCCAAAGTATCAGCGAGCGAATTAGCGAAATGTGAGAAAACAAATTTATGGTTGGGCTCCAGGACAGAGGCCCAAGCTTCAGACCACGACTTGGACTCTCAAAGGAGTTAAACTTCGGTGTTGAGGAATTTACAGAGCCTTTTTTATTTTTCGGCCTGCTCCATTTATAAATCCTTTCGATGTTCTCTATTCGACGAGGCTTTAAACCAAAACCCAAATGTCTAGCTCTCAGACCTTTTTTTCATTTAAAAAAGTGCCATACAAGTCTCTGAACACTTGAATTTAAGTAAATTAATCTTTGTATTAATAATAGAATTATGTGCAATCACATAAGTTAAGTCATTTTTTTTCTTTGCTTATATGACTATTCTTTTATACTTAGATATTGTTATGACAATTACTTTACAGTTAATATTTTTAAAAACTAATAATTGAATTAAAAATTATATTCATATAGATCTCATGTATGTTAATTTTTATGTTGATCTAATATGTATCATATTTATAATAATTAGATTAATATAAAAATTGATATGCATAATTTATATAAATAGAATATTTAATCTAATAGTTAATTTTTCAAAATTTTAATTACCATATAAGTTTTAGATATGCCCTTCAAAAAAAAATTTTAAGAGGACAATTTGTATTACAATATTTAATATTTTAAAAGTAAGGTGAGTTTTAGACATGTTTTATTTATATAAAAAAGTGAGTTTTATAAGATTCAATATTTAATATTTAGGATTTATATATTAGAATTTAAAGTTTAGGGTTTAAAAATTTTAGATTTTAGATTTAATATATTAAGAATTAGAAGTCAAAAAGAAAGAAAGGTTTGTAGAGTAATTGGCAAAAATATTAACAAAGAATACTTTTTTCAGTCCAAATTTTAGTCCTTTAGTCCAAATTTGTGCCCTTTATGATTGGTTTATTAGATTATCAGCAGCAAAATGATTGTGCATGTTTACAGAAGATGGAGTTGGATGAAATAAACAGAGAAAAGAGAAGCGGTGTTTTATTTGATTTGTTATTTTGTTGAGAGCTTTGCTGTGCGTTTTGGTGAAACAAGGAGAAGATTCAATTAGTTTTTTTTTTTTTTTTAATGACCCCTATTTTTTTTCCTCTCCTCTATGTTTTATATCTCCCTTATTTTCTTTGATTTCTTTTCTTTTAGGATTCAGACTGTTGTTCTAGGCGGCAAGAATTTCTCTTTTCTTTCACCTATTTATATATTTTAATTGCTTTGTCAAATCTCATGAACATTGTTGACTTAAATGGTTTGTCATGGTTAATGAAACTTAATTGGTAAACAGAAACTAATTACTAGATTTAAAAAGTCTTGTGCATATTCCTTTTAATCTACCCGTTAGTTTTGTGCATATTCCTTTTAATCTTGCCGTTAAGTTTTGTATACCTAATATGTTAGATAACAAAAATCTAAAAAAAAAAGGATAAAAAAGAGATTAAAAATAATCACTTTTTAGCTTATTTTGATTTCTTTATTTTGAAAAAAAGCCCCTTATGGTCCCTTTATTTTAGAAAAAATCTCTCTTATGGTCAATTTATTTTTAAGTTTTCATCATTTAATGTTAAAACTTAATGGAGGAATTAAAAAAGAACTG